TTTTTTTTTTTTTTTTTTTTTTTTTTTTCTTCTCAGAGGCGTTTTGAATTTGAACGCTGGAGTGAGATTTCGGAAGTCAAGGCACCTTCTGAGTTCTATTTCTGTGCTTTACTGCACTGCGAAATGGGATTAGTGATACCTTCAGTAAGTTTGTGCAGGTTAATCTTTCTTTGTACACTATTCTAGGACTTCAGGCAGGGGATATAAGGAAGGTCCGTAAGCACTGATTTATTTATTGATTGATTGATTTATTTTTAAACCTTGGCAACTGTGGTGGCTGCGTTCTGCCTGCCCACTCCCGCAGGACTCCCACAACGTACTCTTACGCTCTGCCTGCGTTACAGGTGCCTTGGCATGGAACGCGGACCAGCTGTCTTCTGGGAGTCGAGACAGGATGATCCTCCAGAGGGACATCCGCACCCCACCCCTGCAGTCTGAGCGGCGGCTCCAGGGCCACAGGCAGGAGGTCTGTGGGCTCAAATGGTCTACGGACCACCAGCTCCTGGCCTCTGGAGGAAATGATAATAAGGTATAGTACTTCCAAGGAGTCATGTGAGGCTCAATGTCTCTAGATCTTCACCGAGAAATGTCAGACCCTCTTTCTTTAAGGATATTTGGCCTCTCTGAAAGGGGCTTTTGTTTCAGTTGTTGGACTGTGTCCAAACATAAATCATGCTAAGCTTCTACTCAGTCTCCTCTCTCTAATAAAATTAAAAAGGCAAATTTAATTTTGCTTCTGTATTTGGCTAATTAAATCTATAGCTTGACTCAGGGGTTTGAGTTCCGCAAAGCTACTGCTAAGCTGTACTTCCTGACATTGTTTAGGTGTAGTGTATAGTCAGTTTGTTACAATAATGTTTATCTATGCAGAAGGAAACTGAGTTTAGAGCTATATAAGTTCTAATACCTATAACGCAGGCTTGTAGTTCACTGAGCACCATATGGAAGAAGCATCTGTTACGGAGAAGCAGTGTTCAGAGCCCTTTGGAGCGGGTTGCTAGGTAGTGAATTTACCCAGTGTCTGTGTGACAGCACGGTTGTACCGAGTTCCTCCTGCTCAGAATAACTTCTAATGACCTTGAGCATATTTCTAAACGTGTTCTGGAATAACACAGCCACAAAGACAAAAGAAGGTTTGAGTTCATGTTCAGTGACACTGTCTTTGGCTTCATAAGCTTAACTTAAGGACTGTTGGCTTCTTTGTGGCCCAGTGGTAGAATGACTCCTCAGTTGAGTGTGGTGGCAGGGTGGGACTGGCTTCAGGGCTGCAAGTGCAGAGTGGGGAGGCATGTGCTTGGGCAGAGCTGTGGGAAGTCATCTCGTTGCCCAACTGCCCTCATCAGTCCCAGTGCAACATCGTGGCTTGTGGGTGTTGCGGACACATGACTGCAGCACAAGTCTGATCACGTCTCTCCTCTCTGCCAGCTCCTTGTCTGGAATCACTCCAGCCTGAGTCCTGTCCAACAATACACAGAGCATCTCGCAGCAGTAAAAGCTATTGCATGGTCTCCCCACCAGCACGGACTCCTCGCCTCCGGCGGAGGGACAGCTGACCGCTGCATACGCTTCTGGAACACGCTCACCGGGCAGCCTTTGCAGTGCATCGACACTGGCTCGCAAGTGTGCAACCTGGCCTGGTCGAAACACGCCAACGAGCTAGTAAGTTCCTCCCTGTGCAGTCCTGCTGCTGAGCTGTCTTGTGTTAGAAAGCATGATGCATATTTCCCTCTCCCCTTTCAGGTGAGTACCCACGGATACTCGCAGAACCAGATCCTTGTCTGGAAATACCCCTCGTTAACTCAAGTAGCAAAGCTAACAGGACACTCGTACCGAGTCTTATATCTGGTAAGCAATGGCCATGTCTCTGAAGACTTCTGTAGCCGCGCGTGTGCTGAGATGAGACCCAAAGCCACAGCGCCAGTGGCACTGTGGGCTGCCTGTAGTCTAGGTGGAGATATGAATGCTGCCCTACAAGCAATGAAAAACGCTCTGTATCTGGTTTCCTTGCCTGCAAGGGATACTTTGATTTGCTGCTATGGAAATGTGAGGCTTTATTAATGAATAGCAAAGCCTGCCAAAACTCTTCTGAGGAAGCACAAGCATCTCTTCTTGTTCCCTTACGACTTGTACGCTTTTTTACTGGTGACTGCCAGCAGGGGACAAATTTGATGCTTTCAGTCCTCCTAATTTGTCATTTAAAATGCTTGGTGCAGTTAATCCACATTGATCTCGTACCTGCTTTGTTACTGCTACGTGGGACTTTCAGCAGATTCATAACAGAGATGATTAATATGCCGATACTGTTTTGTGAGGTAGATTCCAACGTAAGTGACTAATAGAGCTGGCAAATACCGGTCATATCACACTTCCTGCCTTAACACATATTTATAATCCGGGGAGGAATAGCCTCAATTACAAATGGCTTGGATTTGTTAACACAAGATTCCTTTTTATGGTAATTCCACCCATGTATTCCATAGCTGCATAAGTAAGATGCAAGCGCTCAACTTGGCACCTGCTGAGACTGAATAAGGCACGTGAAAGCAGAGGTAGTTGTTTGGTTTCTCACCGCCAGCCAAGTAGGAAGGAGAGTTAAATATCTCTCATGCATTCCAAGGAAGATTTGTTTTCAACCCCAAAAATGTAACAGATGCTAAAGGTTGCTCTCTTTTGGCCTTAGGCAATGTCCCCTGATGGGGAGGCCATAGTTACAGGAGCTGGAGATGAAACCTTGCGCTTCTGGAATGTCTTCAGTAAAACTCGCTCGACAAAGGTGAGGACACATTGTGTGGATGCCTGCAGCTGTGTCCTGCAGGAGGCTCAGCCTTTGGGGCTGAATTCAGTCCAAGTTTGCTCTGTTCTGCTGCCTTGCCTCTGATCTCTTCACCGTGTCCTGCAGAGCGAGGGCTGGATGCAGTGAAGGGTTAAACTTTGAGATAGAAAGGGGTTTGTAGCCATCAGATGAAATAAAAGGTTGCCTCTGTGTGCCCAAGGCAGCCTGACAGAACATCCTTCTCCTGGCTGTTACAGGGCTGCTGAACATAGCAGCATTTCAGGGACCTCGCCCTGAGCCCACCATCTTCCCTGCTAGCGTGCTGCTATGAACTGACCCGGTCCTCAGAGGTGATTATCCCCTAGCTCCTTAGGAAACTGCTTAAAATGGTGGCTTGGGTGGAAACAGGGTCGTGGATGCTGCCACTGACAACTCGCCATCACCGAAAGCGGGTTGTGCCCGATGCTCTGAGAGCTTTTCTGGGTGTCTGGCAGAGGCAGTGGGGAATGGCAGAGAGATCTTAAGGAATGAGCTGTGGGGAGCTGGCGCTGCTCACTGCTGGGTGTCCCCCTGGTTTCTGACGGCGCAGGGGTACAGTTTCCCGCAAAGCTGTGGGAGCGGCACACTTGCCTGCCATGCTCCTTGTTATCAGTTGGAAAAAACCCATGGGAATATTTATGGTGTTGGACTTTGAATGGTGAGCTCAGATCATGCCCTGAGCTAGAGATACCTCACCAGTTTAGCAGTTGTTTTATTAAAAAAAAAAACCAAACCACCAAACCAAAAGGACATGGAGTAACGCTGCGGCACAACGTGGAGTACTTAGCACCTGCTTTGTCTCTTCTCCTCAGGAGTCTGTATCCGTTCTCAACCTCTTCACCAGGATACGATAAACCCCATATACTGCGACCCAGGAGACTACAGCCTGACATACCAGGATAAAACCACTACCTTGGTGTGCATGGAACCCCAAACGATCAGCCAGAAGGGAAGGGAGTGCCAGTGGGACTGGAGGATGGACCTAACGGATGCTAATTAAATACGTGCTTGTGAACCACGCTGGGCGGTATTTGGGATGGGGTTGGGGAGGGGAGGGAACTGCCAAAGGTTTACGGATTCATCCTTCATAAAGGGAAACGGGTACAAGAGAAACGTTAAACCAGCATCCTCCAACCCTCATGTTGTGTACTGGAGAAAACGTGTGACATGGACCATTGAGACCGGACCAAGGCCATCCCAGCTGCTGTGTTGTCCCCTCTTGGGAGAGATGAGAGTATCCTTGCCTCTGTGGGAGCGGGTTTAACGTGCTGCTCTGGGTCCCTCTGTCCTCGGGTGGACATCTTTGGAGGTAGGAGCCAGCCAGACTTGTTCAATACAACTGGTGCAAGGGGGCTAAACTCCAGGCTGGGCGTTAGCCTCTCTGATTATCTAAGGACATTGTTTATAGCCTGGCATCCCCGTTACATGAAGAAACTGGAGAACTGCTTATTTTCCTTTTTTCTTTTTTTTTTTCCTTCTCCCCCCCACTCCCCCCTGCAAATAGGTACTGTAGTACTTGATACAATCATTCCCGTACGACAGCTTGATTTTTGGCATGCTTGACAGCTGCCTTCAAACAAGTACATTTTTGGGCTTTAAACTTTGGAGGAGACTTGGAGAGGCTCCACCTCAGAGGGAGCACATTCAGAAAGTTCTGAAATTGCTATTGCATGTTCTGGGCTGATCCTTTTAGTTAACAGAGAGGAAAAACAATGGCTTAAAAAAAAAACAAAACAAAACAACCCCAACCAACAACCACCGTGCATGTGGAGCTTCCCACAGTGCCGTTGGGGGCAGGCTGGTTGCTCTGGAGTCTTCCTGAGGGCAAAGGCAGTTGAGATGCATTTGAGAAACAAAACAACTCGCGTGGATCTGGTTTTTGGAGAGAGCATGGCCTCTTCTGGCTGGAAGGGGGGAAACACCGTGTCCGGGCGAGAGGGGGGTTCTTTTTCTAAAGCAAGGAGGAAGTGTTGCTTTTTTTTTACCTCCAGGTCAAAGCCAGGGACCTGTTGTTGGGGTTTTTTTGTTGTTTGTTTGTTTTTTTTTTTTTAAGTTGTATGGGGAGAGAGTGCCTGCTTGTGTGTTTGGAGCCTGTGTGACGAGTGCCGTGGGATGTGATGCAAAGCACTTGCGTGTGTATGTTGCTTTTAATTTAAAGAGAAGCTGTTACGCTTGCAGCAGCCTGTTCCTGTCTTACTTTGTACGTGTGCCAACGCTCTCCCTGCCGTGCACCTGGCTCCTGCCTGCCCCCAGCCCTCTCCAGTGCACTGGGATGTGAGTGCTGTTCTGCTGCTTCCTCTTCTCGTTTGGATTTTCCTGGCTGTGTATATAGACCTTGACCTGTTCTCTGTAGAGTGCATAGGCAATACTTTTCTGTCTCTTCCCCCCCCCTCCTCTCCTTCTTTCCCTGAAACCAGACCGTAGGGGTGGCGGTAGGAATATGGCTGTCTCTCCCCAGTGCCACTGGTATCCTTAGGGTGAGCTTCTGAGGTGTAGGAAGGCTGGTACGGAGAAGGGCAGTGAGATGCCGTTCTGTTCACTACAGCCTTGACCGCGCGGGCCGTTACACCAGTGCTTGGCTCAGGCTCTTGGTGCTGCCTCTTGCGTGTCGCAGGTACTTGGAGGCACTCGTGAGGAGCTCGTGTGCCGGGAGCTCACCCCTCCTTAGCAGGCTGGCAGCGGTGAGTCTCCAAAGCCCAAACCGGCAGCCGTGTCGTCATCTTACAGCCTCACTGGCCTCCGGAATGGAATTTCAGTGTAATTTCTGGAACACGGTTTCAACACAATTACTTGTGTAATTGTTCACAATTGTTCACAAGTTCTCGCTGCAGGAGCATGGGGCTTGGTTTAAAAATCATCCGATGGCCTCCCAGCCCCTCTCTTGCTGCTTGTTACATTTACTGGCACCGTTAAACTTTGTGTGGAAGGACCACAAAGCACTGAGTTGTTAAAATTAAGTCAGATCATTAAGTTGGCAAGCAGGCTTGACGTGAAAGGCCACCTGCAGCAAGACGTGGTCTGTCACGGGTGTCTGCGCCGTGTGGTATCGCCCTGTTGGGCAGCAGAGCCTGGGGACAGGGGGGTGTTTACACCGGGGTGGGGGTGGTTGGTAGCTGCTGCTGTGGATTTTCTTGTCTGTTGTGGATTGTCTCCTGCCTAAATCCCGACACCCAGACCCCCGGGAGACGCTGGCCTTTTCCTCCAGGAAGCCAC